TAAAAATATAAACAACTACATCATTATGTTGATATCCTATATTTTTACAATAAAACTTACGACAAACATGTCTTCTAATATCCTCAGTTGTTGCGTATACCGAGCTGCATCGAACACATTTGTAAATAACTTTCCTTGAACCCATTGGTGCGAGTTCACTTTAATACCGCGTGCGTTATATACATGTTGCTGCTGATTGGACTGCAGTTCTGACACGCCCACCAAACAAGAGAAAACGCATCTCAAACCCCGTTGCACACCGGTGCACGCCGTTTCCAGGAAACATGACGTTCAACCCGGAAACCGTAGCAAAACGTTGCGCACCGTTTTGAACTTGAACGTGCCCCTGGTCACTTTTAAATGCAGGGTCACTCCACATGAAGAAGCATGTCTTTCCATTTCACGCTTCTAGAGTCCTGCGTGCAGCGGGCATCTGGCTGGCATACGGCTCTGGTGACCTACATCACCACTTACATGCTCACATACTCACTTCTGTTTTCACATCAGCTAATTTCAGGAATGTGCTGACGTTATAGTTTTTTTTTAAAAGAATCTAGTGAATTTGCCTCACAAATTGAACTGTAATTGAATCAAACTCGCTCCTGAAAGGCACCGTTTAATATCAGATATTAGTACCGCAAATAATGCAAGAAACCTGGATAGAACATTCCTCTCTAATCACAAGGTCATTGGTTTACCTGTACACATACTTTTTCCCCTTTTCTAACTTAAAAAAAAAAAAAAGCTTATTACAAAAATAATATACTTAAAGTCCCCCTGTAGTCAATAATTGTATCCCTTAAAACTCATCTTTGATCACCGAAATGACATATTTAATTGTTTTTTCCTTGAATGCTTTAAAACAGCTTGAATGTAACTCTACACTCTTGCCTCATTTAGTATACGCGGCTCTATGAATATGCGAATGAGCCCCGTCTCCACTCACTCACTCAGCTCAGAGATCCACTGGTTGATGATCACACGTTGATCTGATTGGTTACAAGGTCGTTTGTGACGTCAGAAACACCAGCGATTTCAAACCGTGTGTTTGAGACTGTCTTTGGTTCACTGCAGTTTTAAAGGTGCCCTAGAATGTTTTTTTTTATTATTTTATAATGTTTCCTGGGTTACCCTTATAATGTTAGTATGTTTTTTAGATAAAAAATAATCATAATTTAGAAATAAATGGCATTTTTCCTAGCCTGCTATTAGCCTCTGATTTGAACACTCTGTTTGAAGGGGCGTGTCTGCTGTGGGATTCAGTGTAACCGCGGCCACTGCTGTGATTGGCTGACATGCTTGCATATGAAATAGCTACGCATTACATGTGAAACTCTCTCCCGAATACTTTTACTACTGCTATTATACGTTTTTACTATAACAGCTATCGAGATTAACGAATCGTGAGATGTTTTTAAAGTATTTAGATCTATTCCCATCACATAAAATGTTGCCGTGATGAGCATTGAGCAGATGACAGTGTGTTGATCGCGAGAATGAAGATCTTATCATTGCAAAGCAGTTTCTGCACTCTCTCTAAGGCTTTCACCAATGCAAACACGATGATGTAAATACAGTAAGAGCTTCGTTGTGCAGTAACGTGCGTCATTGATTTCATAACGAGTTTGGCAAGTGTCCAGATAAACTCGCGCTGTGTGGAAAGATTGTTCTTTGATCGCTTTCTGTATATAATTTGTTCACAATTTAAATACGATTATTTTCATCCTGCTAAAAGAAACGGTGTGAAGCTGATATTTTAGTCACTGGCTTGACTTACTGATGCATAAACAGTATTGAACGATTTTGAGAGAAAGATTACCTGTCTGAACTTGAACAATTACACATCAGAAAGTGTTGCTTGGTAGCTCGATCCGAGGCCAGCTCTGTATTGGCCCAAGTTGAGGAAACAGTCGGTGAAATGTTTGGAAATTTCCAGAGAAAATAAAATGAACCCATTGTTTCTTCAGAGGCTCAGATGAAGGAACTAAAAAATACTTTTGTGTTCATGTGTACATCCACACTGAGCAACTGCCATGCTTCGGCTGCGCAGTTCCGCCTGGCATTGAGGGCTGGCATTATGCAAATATTTGAAGGCGTACATATTAATGATCCCGACTATTGCGTCACAGTCGGTATTGTGTGGAGAACCGACCGTTTTTCAGGGGTGTTTTTCATAAACGTGAATTAAATGAGAACGCGAAAACAGTCCAGTTTGAGATTCACTCTATGTTATGTCCATGCACTGAACTCTTGTTATTTGACTATACCAAGGTAAATTCAATTTTGAATTATAGGTCACCTTTAAGGAGAAAATACTGTCGACTTATGAATTTACTCATGGTTTATCTTAAAGCATATTAAAACACACACATATACATATAAACAACATTAAAAGCTAGATTTTCACCACAGGGGGGCTTTAAGAATATACTTAATTGTGAACTAAATGTAATGTTTTTAACACTTTATTGCATGGTAATTGAAATTAAAGGGGTCATATAATGCCATTTTTGTACAAGCTAGTATGATTCTTTAGGGTATAAATTAAAAGTTTGTAATATACTTTAATTAAAAATTCTCTTTAGTATTGTAAGAAAACACTTATTTTACTTGGTCAAAAACAGCTCTGTTTTCAGCACGCCGTTTCAGTGCATATGACTTTAAATGATAATGAGCTTTGCTCACCCCGCCTCTCTGTTCTGTGCGTACACCGTTTGTAACACAATAACCATAACGCGTTGTTCAGTTTAAACGTGGGATTATGAATTATATTGAGAACATCATACATAGAAAACATGCCGTAATGTAACATTACCCTGAGTGTAAACCTTAGACGCATTCATTGTGAAGCGTGCAGCTAGCGATTTGCAAAGATTAATATAAATATTAATATAAAATTTAATAAAACGTTACACTCACTTCAGTTGTTCAAGAGGTTCAGCAGGAACACGAATATCTGGTACCGATTCTTTTTTCAGGAGCAGCTTCTTAGCAAATCCAGCTTTATACTTGACGCTCGTTTATAAAGCAGTCTGGTGTGTGAAATGATTCGCGCAAACATGAGAGCATTGACGTTGCTCGTGGGGAATATTCCCTTCGAAAACAAACACAGCCACTGCGTCTTCAGCGGTTCGGATTTAGGAACATTAAAATGACTGTGTTCGTTATTACACCCAAGAACAGAACACCACAATCGCTTAGACGCCATTCTGCTCATAGACAGTGCTCCAGCATATCAACAATGACCGCGCCGGTCCGCGCGCACTATGATTGACAGCTGGCTCACGAGCGAGGGCGGGTCTGTGTTGAAACGCTCCTGTCAATCAACAATCGTGGGAGGGGCTTCCGAGTGTGTGACGTCACACAGTCGAACGGCTCAATTTGAGACAGGGGAAAACATATAAGGAGATTAAAACAAAACCACTGGATGGATTTTTATCATTATATGATGGTTGAGTACAGGCACTGCCAACACACATTTCAGTACAATCAACTTGTAAAAGTGCATGTACCATTATATGACCCCTTTAAATGAAAATGTATTATAGATTCAATTTTTATTAAATGCATTTAGCTGAACTTAAGAGTGTTTTTTGACCCACTTAAGTAGGAATTAAGTACTTTCTTTGTTTTATGTATATGTATACGATTTTAAGTGCACACTCAATACAAAAGAGCACACTTTTTCCACAAGGGTCATGGCAATCTAAGCCATTTTTCGTTCTCTGCCATTTCCATAAGGGTGTTGCACAAAGGATTTAACGCTTGAATCCATAACTTGTCTTGTAAAGCTTTACTTTTTCTTTGTCTTGTTACATTATAAGACAGATCAAACTCAGAACTACTTTACACTTGTTCACGTTCCAAAAACATGAATTTTTCCACGGTCAAAAGACTGTCTAGCACCAACCCTTCTTTCTTCCTTATTCTTCTTCAAAATTGTTACGCATGCGTATCATGTATGAAACTAGTCAAAGTCACGTGATACAATACAAATAACACAAAATACAGATTTATCAAAAACATAATCACTCTAAATATAAGAACGAATATTACAAAATTCTAAAAGTAATCACAAGGTCGTTGGTTTACATGTACCTTTACTTCTTATTTCATGTTAGAAGCTTTCATTTTCAACACATTTAGTATGTTTTATTGAAATACATTTTTTTTATCTGCCTTTAATAAGCTATCATTCCCATGCACAAGCAATGTGGGACAAGTTACATGCTTAAGTTTAATAGAGTTTGTTCATATCATGTTGTTGCCCCTCTCTCATTTCTTTCATTCTCAGTCTTTCCCACATTCTTTTTCGTCTCTTTTTCCTCACTTACAGTATAAATACGAGTTAATATACTGAAAAAATATGTATGGAGAATAAGAAATAAATTAATATGGTGTGATATTTATGAGTAATATAATATAATATAATAATATTAAAAACATTATATGACCATTGTAATATATTTATGTAATATATTTAAGCAGTTTTGGTTCTCAGGTAAAAAATAAAAAAGTGCTTTAAGGATGTTTAGATGCAGGTGAAACTTGACAAATTTGAATATATGATGAATATGTATGAATATATATATGAATTTATTGAATAATTTGAATTCAACTTAAAAGGTGAAACTAATATATTATATAGACTCATTACATGCAAAGTGCAATATTTCAAGCCTTTATTTGTTATAATTTTGATGATTATGGCTTACAGCTTATGAAAACCTTTTCACAATATTCTAATTTTGACTTTGGGGTTTTCATAAGCTGTAAGCCATAATCATCAAAATTATAACAAATAAAGGCTTGAAATATTGCACTTTGCATGTACTGAGTCTAAATAATATATTAGTTTCACCTTTTAAGTTGAATTACTGAAATAAATGAACTTTTGCACGATATTCAAATTTTTCGCGTTTCACCTGTATTTTTTTCAAGTGTATAAATAATAATAATAAAAATAGGTTTTCAGATTTTGTGTCCTTCTTTTCCTGCAGGGCTGAAATCACTCTAGGCAACATCATTAAGAAGAAAGGCTGGAGGTGACCGTTTTATTCTTATGCTTCTCATTTTGGATTAATTTTGTGGCAAATCAGTTTGAGTGTACATATTCTTCTTCTCAGACATTAATCATGGAAAAAGTTTTTACATCATATCTTGTATTTCTTCCTGTGCTCTGGGTTTTGTCAGGTTGAGTTCAGAGTAAATGTGGCTGCTATCTGGATTCAATGGAACAAAATTATAGGACAGGATTTGGCTTGATCTCACTATAATAACCAACATTGTCCCCCCAAAAAAATCTGTTTCAGACGGTCCAGTTATGTAGTAACGACTAAGATCTACTGGGGAGGACAGTGAGTATTCAGTTCTACAATCATATAGATTAACATGAATAAATCAGAATAGTGTCAAAATGAACATATAAACTAAAAGTAATTTACAAATGACATTTATATTTGCAGATATATATAATATATATATATATATATACTGTATATATATATATATACACTCACCGGCCACTTTATTAGGTACCCCATGCTAGTAACGGGTTGGACCCCCTTTTGCCTTCAGAACTGCCTCAATTCTTCGTGGCATAGATTCAACAAGGTGCTGGAAGCATTCCTCAGGGAGTTTGGTCCATATTGACATGATGGCATCACACAGTTGCCGCAGATTTGTCGGCTGCACATCCATGATGCGAATCTCCCGTTCCACCACATCCCAAAGATGCTCTATTGGGTTGAGATCTGGTGACTGTGGAGGCCATTTTAGTACAGTGAACTCATTGTCATGTTCAAGAAACCAATTTGAAATGATTAGAGCTTTGTGACATGGTGGAAGTAGCCATCAGAGGATGGGTACATGGTGGCCATAAAGGGATGGACATGGTCAGAAACAATGCTCAGGTAGGCCGTGGCATTTAAACGATGCCCAATTGGCACTAAGGGGCCTAAAGTGTGCCAGGAAAACATCCCCCACACCATTACACCACCACCACCAGCCTGCACAGTGGTAACAAGGCATGATGGTTCCATGTTCTCATTCTGTTTACGCCAAATTCTGACTCTAACATCTGAATGTCTCAACAGAAATCGAGACTCATCAGACCAGGCAACATTTTTCCAGTCTTCAACTGTTCAATTTTGGTGAGCTCTTGCAAATTGTAGCCTCTTTTTCCTATTTGTAGTGGAGATGAGTGGTACCCGGTGGAGTCTTCTGCTGTTGTAGCCCATCCGCCTCAAGGTTGTGCGTGTTGTGGCTTCACAAATGCTTTGCTGCATACCTCGGTTGTAACGAGTGGTTATTTCAGTCACTGTTGCCCTTCTATCAGCTCGAACCAGTCTGGCCATTCTCCTCTGACCTCTGGCATCAACAAGGCATTTCCGCCCACAGAACTGCCGCTCACTGGATGTTTTTTCTTTTTCGGACCATTCTCTGTAAACCCTAGAGATGGTTGTGCGTGAAAATCCCAGTAGATTAGCAGTTTCTGAAATACTCAGACCAGCCCTTCTGGCACCAACAATCATGCCACGTTCAAAGTCACTCAAATCAACTTTCTTCCCCATACTGATGCTCGGTTTGAACTGCAGGAGATTGTCTTGACCATGTCTACATGCCTAAATGCACTGAGTTGCCGCCATGTGATTGGCTGCTTAGAAGTTAAGTGTTAACGAGCAGTTGGACAGCTGTACCTAATAAAGTGGCCGGTGAGTGTATATTAGTGCTGTCAAAATGATTAATCCCGATTAATCACATCTAAAATAGAAGTTTGTGTTTATATAATATGTGTGAGTACATATATAAATATATATATATAGATATATACTCTATATGTGTGTGTACATATATATAAATATATATACTCTATATGTGTGTGTGTATATGTATATGCATATATTATACACACACACATGACACACACACACACACATATATATATAATATATAGATACACATTATACAAAAAAAAACGATTAATCGTTTTGACAGCACTAATATATAAATATCTGTAAAATTGTTTATATTCTTTTTTTACATTTATTAATTGTTAATTCTATATATGTATATAGAATATATAATTATGTAAGTGTACAGTTAAGATATTGTGTTTAAAATGTAAGTTATTCGATATTAACTTCTTGTACTCCAGCATGCTAATACTCAGTGAATATACTTAGTCATTTTCTTCATATCTCCATATCTTCTCCTCTCTGACATCTGCATTCATAATCCTCAGGGCAGAGACAGAGAGAGGCCTGTCTAGAAAACACATCATAGAAGGTAAAGTGCTGCTCTCCCCACCTCTCTCTCTCTCGATTATGACGATAATAATTAATCGGAGAGACAGTGATGGTGATGTATCCACAGGTCTCAGAGGTTCCCTGTCTAGACTACAGCTGGATTACGTGGATATTGTCTTTGCCAACCGAAACGATGTCAACAGCCCCATGGAAGGTCTATCTTCGCTTTTACATCTTTTATGGCATGTGTTATGAATGAATAATTTATGCTATATGGCTTATCACGAGCACTGTTGTGTGTGTGTTCTTTCAGAGGTAGTACGTGCGATGACATTTGTTATAAACCAGGGTATGGCCATGTACTGGGGCACGTCCCGCTGGAGCGCCATGGAGATCATGGTAGGATCTATCGCCCCTTAATATACCAAAGTTCATTCCATAAGCATACCATCTGTTCTTCATAATATATCACATTTGCCATTGTAATGAAATAAGTGGATACCAGTGTTGGGCAACATTGAATCTGTAGCTTGTCAATTTATAGTAGTTCAACTATAAAAGAAAGCTTGTTACACTACAAGCCACCAAGACCCAAGGGCATAATGGCATTTGAAATATAAGGCTATCCAGCAATATCATTTATAATTTTATTTTATAAGTTTCTCAATTATATTACATGCATCTGCAACTTGAACAAACATATTTATACATAAACTAAAAATTTCGCTGTCTATGAATAAGAAGATTCGGGAACTCAAAACGTTTTTGTTTTTGTCCAATTTACCGGGTCCATTGGACTTTCAAACGCTACATATGAAAAAACAATGTAGGAGAATGTGTTTGATTATTAAAAGCAATGTAACATTTGTTTGTGACACTTCTACTCACTGAAAAAAAAGTATACTGTTACTGGAAACACTACACTATTATGAATATAAATGAACTACTGTCACACAATATAAAATTTGATTAAAGGTACACTGTGTAACTTTTGGCCCTCTAGTGGTTAAAAACAAAACTGCATGCATTTTGTGGAAGAACATTGTTTTGGTTGTGCGTCGGCTCTGCGTGACTGTGCGGATGAATATAGTTATTCTGCTGCTCATAAAACATATAGGCTTAAGATTTAACCAGTTTAGATGGAAAGGATCTCAAGCTGACGAGCTGAAGACGTTACTGTAGCTTTACCCATTAATACACACGCTACTTCCTTGAGAATAAATTCCAGCACAGCGTTACAACAACCATAATGAAATGACCCTTCACAATAGATGATGCTTTACAATCAACTCTGTTAGAGAGATACATATGGCAATTTATCTGTTCAATAAAATACCTTACACACTTGTTGAGTAATACAAACGCAATCTCCGCATTTCAGTTTCCTTAGTTCTTTCCATCCACGAAAAGCCAAGCCGATGTTGATTCTTGTTTTATTACGAGCTCTGTCTCGTTCTCTTTTTGCCAGCAGACTCTCCTCTGTTCGCTGTTATTTTGTAACACGGGTGAGGTTGGAGATTTAGTGACTCCATGTCAACCTTTCTCGCTCGTAACACACACACATCAAAGTAACCGGAGCATCTTTTCTCTATTTACGGATATGACGTAGCCTGGCTAACGTCAGACCCAAGTCTCATTGAGACTTGGGTCTGGGAACCACATGTTCATTTTCTCGTATTTGAGGCGTGGTTTACGAATACCCAGAGCCGTTTATTGGGTGTTACGAATGTCTATCAAATGCGCCTGTACGTAGCTCATAGCCAATCGTTTCAATTATACCAGATGACGTATGTAGAGCGACAGAAATTAGACGAGGAAGAAGACGATGGGTCAGAGATTTATGTGTACACGATGGCGTGTATCTAACGGCCGTTTCACACCGCATGCGTGAGCGGCGCTTATTTTTTTCGGCATGCATGTTAATAAATGAGTGCATTCACACCGGGAGCAGGAGCGGCGCGTGAGCAGCAGTGAAGCGGGGGTTTCGGCGTCGAATCTGTTTTTGCACTGCTCACGCTCAACTAAAGTGAAAGTACACTTTTGATGGACAAAAATAAATATGATTTCACACAAAAAGTGCCCAAAATGCACAGAATAAGCATGTCTAGTGAGTTTTAGCAAATAAAAGAAAATAAAGACTCAGAAATATTTATAGAAGATTTAGGCTACCCGGTAAAAACTTGTTTTTAATTATTCAGTTTGGGTGAAAGTTGTGTATTATATATATAAAAAAACTAAAATAAACTAGCCAGAAAATATTATATATAAACGTTCTTTTAGTTTATGTAACACACAGACAGCTAGCTATAGGCTAGCACAACCCAAATCAAACCCGAGTGTGTGGTTTATTTGTGTTTTGTTTTTTATCCGCGGAGTTGCAGTCTTGTAAACATATCGAAAGTATGACTGAAACTAATAGATAGGAGCCGTTTTCTGGGTTGTTTTGTAGTTTAACATTTATATGCGAATGTTGTACACCTCCCCATTACAAACTTTCAAGACTATCAATGTTATAAATTACCAACTTCTAAAAACAAATGTCTAGTTGTCTTTGTAAAGAATTGCTCGCTTATGTAGCTTTGGAGCCGCGCTGTGACTGTACAAACGCTTCCAGTGTGAATACTCTCGCGCGTCTGCAGCTGCCGTGACGATGTAGTTACGCTGACGCGCTGCTCAAGTGCCGCTCACGCTCGCGGTGTGAAATCTATGTGTGAAACGGCCGTAAAGCTGCATCGAAAGGTAACTTCGCGTCTGCTGCCATGTTGGATCCATAGGTATAAACAAACTGCTTCGGTGTGTCGCATAGACGCGTCATCGTCTTGCTGCTCCCTCCCCGTTCTGTGATTGGTTCCCTAAATGAGGCGAAAATTTGGTCCATGGTATCCAGACTACCTAGCAGCGTGAATAAAATTGCGCTGCGGCAAGGTAGTATGGGGAAACCCAGGCTAGATATGACGAGTAATGTGAGTAATGATGTGCGCAATTTCCCATGAAAACCATCCTGACTGGTCTAAAACATAAACACTTATATAATAAGCTTACCATAGTCAATCAGGGTAAGACAAAACACCTTTTGGAAGAAGGATTATTGATGCATTATTTAAATTTTGTTTAAATACCTTTAAATTTGTAATGTCACTTCTTTTATACATCACTGGTTGTTAGCATCTCGGCCACAGAAAGGACAGTCTAACCTTTTCTTGTCTTCTGTGTGTGTGTTTGTGTGTTTAGGAGGCATACTCCGTAGCGAGGCAGTTTAACTTAATCCCACCAGTATGCGAGCAGGCCGAGTATCACTATTTCCAGAGGGATAAAGTGGAGGTGCAGCTGCCAGAGCTCTACCACAAGATCGGTCAGTCCACAAAAGTTACCTTCAAATCATTCATTATACCAAAAAAAAAAATGTGCCATTAAACCATATGGAAGTTGCTCAGATTGTAGGTTATATGTAGTATGCAACGTGGCACGGGCCGTAGTCACTCTACTGTATATTAGCGCGCTTTGCAGTCTTTTTCACGCTATTAAGAGCTCAGTCACTGATGAAGCATCTACCATGATATAATGAAATATTTTTTTGGTTTTTAAACATTTTATGCTATAAAAATATATTTTGTTAGTACATAATCTACCGGCAAGGGCTGTTTAATGACACTAACCTCAAGTTTCAGCATGAAAATAGCTGTGCTGAAGGACAAAATGTACTGAAGAAGTCGTTCATACCACAGTACTATGACTTTTGCGACGCCCAACTTCTTAAATTATGATTATTTTTTTTAATAATTACTTAATTTCATGATTTTAATTGTTGGATTTGAGGTTTAATTAGGACAGATGTCAACTCAAACCCCATGTCTTGTGACTGTCACATGTCCTGCCAGGCGTTGGAGCGATGACCTGGTCTCCTCTCGCATGTGGGCTGATCACAGGAAAATACAGCGATGGCGTTCCAGACTGTTCAAGAGCCGCAATGAAAGTGAGTCATGAAGAATTTGTCAGCAGTAGATTTTCTCTCCTCCCTCTTTTCAATTTCTCATTGTCAGTTGATTTGATATTTTGTCATCTAATGCAATGACATTGATATTATATCTCAATGTTTGATTGTGTATTAGGGATATCAGTGGCTAAAGGAGCGAGTGTACAGTGAAGAAGGGCGCAGACAGCTTGCAAAAATCAAAGAGCTCCACCTGGTGGCTGACAGGCTGGGCTGCACGGCTGCTCAACTCGCCATTGGTGAGTGTCTCTCGGCTCAGCCTGGATTTTGACTATTGTTGCTAATGGTCTGATCGACTTTCAGGCTTATTCGGGCCAAGAATCATCCATGTATATGTGCTAAGTTGGAGTCAATATTGGAGCATGCCAGACTGAGAAAGTGCTTGCCATTTTAATAAAGTCAGTCATTAAACGGTTTGTTCATTCAAATGTCTTTAATAAAAAAAAGATATTGTGAAATCTCTCACTCAGCATGGTGTTTGCGCAGTGAAGGGGTTAGTTCTGTACTTCTTGGTGTCTCCAATACAGACCAGCTTATTGAGAACCTCGGAGCCCTGCGGGTAATAAACACACACACACACACACACACACACACACACACACACACACACACACACACACACACACACACACACACACACACACACAACCGCTCAAAAGTTTTTTTGTAATGTTTTTTGAAAGAAGGTCAAGGAAGGAATGTTTACAGTATAATTGTAATTACTCCAGTCTTCAGTCAAATGATCCTTCAGAAATCATTCCCTTGTGAAAAAAGAAGTGTGCTTAGTTGTATTACATGTGCACTCGTAGTGCACTTTAAATCTTAAAAGTAAATTAAAACAAAAACGTGTAACTTTTTTCTACTATACTATACTATTTGCAGGTGATATAATATTAAATTAAAGTCCTCTTAAGTGTACGTAAAGAAAGTTCACATTCATGACTACTGTGTCTTTATTAACACACTTAAGTACAGTTTTATAATAACGTAAAATTAAAAGTTAAGTATTTTGTGGTGCTTTAAAGAAGCAACTAACATACTAGCACATGTAAAGTACTGGATTAAGATTTTAACTGTAGCGTGTTATTTGTAAATATTTTTTAATGTACTAAATTGCAACCTTATCATTACACATAAATGTGTAATTACAAATATATTTAAATACATGACATTTAAGTTTCAATAGACATGACATTAAAGGATATTTTGGTTTACCATGAATGCTAATCAGTACACTTTAACCATATTTCAAAGACAATTATGAGTATGTTGACATACTGAAGATGTACTTAAGCTGTACTAAAGTGGGTAAAAACACCATTAAGCTCAACTAATTGCATTTAATATAAATGTAAACTATAATATATTTTCATTTAATTGTAAATAACATGCAATTTAGTGTCAGAAGGCGTTACATTCAATTCACACTTGAGTATATTCTTTTGAAGTATATTATTTACATCAATAAATAAAGTGCTAAAGTGTTCTTTTTTTTACAAGTGTTCTAATATTCTGATTTGATCTTCAAGAAGCATTTCTTATTACTACCCATGTTGAAAATATTAGTGTTGCCTGATATTTCTGTGGAAACTGCGATACATTTCCTCGATGACTGATTGGAGAGTTCAAAAGAACAGCATTGATTTCAAATAGCATGTTTTTACTGACACTTTTGAACAATGAGACTCAGCCTTCATAACATTATTTTCATATTCTCTTCAGGTGCTGTCTCAAATGACACCTCAGACTGTGAGCGAGATGGATGCTCTCCTGGGCAACAAGCCTCACTCCAAGAAAGAGTCACGTGCGTGAGGGAACTAGAGAGATGACATGAACATGTGCAGCCTGAAAAGACAAAGAAAGCAAGGTGGAAAAGACGGAACACGGCGTACCATTGCTTTCCTGCTCTCCCGTATATTACAACACCTGCATGCCTTCTGCAACATGCTTCCAGCCCATACCGATACCACACCGCTCTCTGTAACCCTACTCAAATATCCCAACATAACCTACCAATTAAACATGGACACGGCTGTCATCACAGAAATGCCACGAACAACAACTTTTTCATTTCCTTATTCGGAGAGACTGAAGTTTCAGTCTTCCAGGAGGAAGTACTGCCGATTGAAGGAGGTGAATGAGTGTCACAAATCTTCTTTATCAGCAGGCCCAGACGGAATCTGGACTTTCTTGCAGTTTCCACTCTGGAATTCCACTGTTTCCACTACGGAATTCCAGTTTCCACTGCAAAATTCCAGTTTCCACTGCAGAATTCCACTGTTTCCACTACGGAATTCCAGTTTCCACTGCAGAATTCCAGTTTCCACTGCAGAATTCCACTGTTTCCACGACGGAATTCCAGTTTCCACTGCAAAATTCCAGTTTCCACTGCAGAATTCCACTGTTTCCACTACGGAATTCCAGTTTCCACTGCAGAATTCCAGTTTCCACTACGGAATTCCAGTTTCCACTGCAGAATTCCAGTTTCCACTACGGAATTCCAGTTTCCACTACGGAATTCCACTGTTTCCACTACGGAATTCTGTGCAATGGATCAAACGTGATAAAATGAGTTAAAGGAAGCTAAGAGTGCTACATTATTATTGGCAGCTGGAAACTTTATCAAATATTTATTAAACCAAGATGTGCGGGGCGAACGATGTGTAGCAGTTTCTGAATCCTGCCGAACTCTGCGCAGATTCCGCGTGGGCCTGGATGTGCGGATGTGTGTTCAAGAAAGTATGAGCGAGTGTTTGTGTGTGTGCATGCAGTGACTCTTTCGATCCAACTCTCGGTTGCTGGTGTTGCACCTGAGTGACTCGGAAAAATGGACTTGACGCGAGCGAAGCAGTTTCTGAGGTGCCTGTCCCCGTGTGTTGGGGCGTTGTTCGCTGCCTGTCACGTTTCATTCTCGCGGTGCAGGAGAGCGTGGCAAAGACTCCGGCGCGTGACGGGAACAACATGCAGCAACTGCAAACAGCTGTTTGGACACATCACAAGTCTTCCTCCATTTCCCTCCTTTCCATCTCTCCTTGTGTTTACAACAGTGCACCTGTCCCTTTAAGAGAACCCGTGCAGTTATGGGAGGGGCGTGCGAGTGTGTATACGGTACCTTGCAAACATATTTAGACCTTCACCAATTCACTTGTTTAAAAACAAGTCTTTTAGTCAGTATTACTATTGCTATGTATTTTTTAGAAAAAGCATAAGCATGATCCCTAACCCCACCCCACCCCTAAACCTAAGCAGATCGTATGACAACATGAATGAATTAATCATAATTTGGCAAAAAAGTTATAAAATGCCATGAGAATGGGTTGTAGCAACAGTATAGCAACAGCGTTTGCCTACTCTAGTTCGAAATCAAAAAAAAAAAAAATCTTGAACACTGTTAAAGTCTGATAAAAAGAAAGTAGTAACATTCTCTAGTGTTTACTGGCTCGAGGGCGGGGGAACCTGTCACTCACATGAGATCCACCAATAGCAAACCACACCCATCCAAACATCAAATCAATTTCCACAACAAAATCAAGTGCCACCCTACATTTTTTTGTTCTTGTTCCATTTCACTCATATACGTGTTTGGGAATGACTGAGCTGATATAGCAGGGACTGTTAATTTTGCAAATCTGTTTTTCTGTTTGGTGGTGCAGAAGATACATACTTCACCTTTATATGCAGGATTTGTGATTCATCATAATTTAAAACTTGGTTCCTGGTCTGAATACTTTTGCAAGGCATCATATGTGTGGGGCTTGGCTTGAGCGGTCAGCATCCTTTGCACTAAGTGGACAGAGTCATAATTTTAATATCATAGTTCACAAATAGTCATGAAGGGTCATAGGTTAACATGACCAGAGAACTGTGCTAGTGTTGCTTTGTGTGTTTGACAAATACAAGCTGCGTCAGTGACAATGAAAAGCGAAGCGCTTCACTTTTAAAGTGTTTGTGTCATTCCATTATTTCAGAGAGAAAGACACAGATTTGCTAGATTTAATATCTATTGTTAATTTCCCATCAGTCATTACTGAATATCACAATGTGCAGTGTCTCAGAACCAAAATGATTCCATAACCCAAAACTCATCGCATGGTATGCTGTCAGTTACCACAGAAAATCATTTGGACCGATCTCAGCTTGTAAAAATAAAAATGTTCTTTACAGTAATGCATTTGAAATGACATCTGGGGGCAAACGCAACGCAAGGTTTAAAGCTAAAATGTGAAGCTCAGCTGAAAAATCAGATTCTTTGCACAGAGAAGTGATTTTCTCGCATTAGTTTTGTCTAGTCTTGTCGTTACATTTTCAAAATGGTATTTATTTTAACATTTACCATAGTACAATGCCTTGCCCCATACACTTCCACTATTGCGAGTGCATTACTGTAAAAACACAATTGCATTTGTAAAAAAATGCAAACTAAATCATAAGCTCAAACTATTTTCTGTTGTAATTGACAGCACGTGCCGAACCCCATGGAAACTTGTTTCTGCTACAGAATAAAAAATAAAGAATTTAATTGCGACTTTTTATCTCGTAATTCTGACTTTATATCTCGCCATTGTAAGTTTATATCTCGCACTTTAGAGTTTATAACTTGCAATTTCTCAGAAGTGTGAGAGATAAACTGAGAATTGCGAGAAAAAAAGTCTGAATTGTGAGATACAAATTCGCATTTTCAAAAGTTGACCAACTTTTTTTTACAACTGTTCAGACTTTTCCCTTGCAATTGCGAGCTTATAACTCACAATTCTGGCTTGAGAATTCTGAGAAAGTCCGAATTGTGAGTTATAAATCGTAATTACCTTTTTTATTTTTTTATTCCGTGGCAGAAACAAGCTTCCATAGTACCCAGTCAAAACAAAAAGACAAAAACATTTAGTTCAGCCCAAACAACAGGCACAGACAGAGACCCTTTATATTGAACTGAGATCAGTTTTGCAATCTTTTAATATGAGTAATATGCATTGCATTTGAGAAACCAGACCCGCAAGTTAGCAAGATTCTGTATTTGTTACACTTACAATTTTTTTTTTTTTTTTTTTTTTTGAAATTTTATTGGAAACCTCTACGTGCTGCGTTCACACTGCCAGCGCCAGCGGCTATATTCAGACTGCAGGCCAATCAGATTTCTTCTCAAATCTGATATTTTCAGGCAGACAGTCCGCACTATTAAGTGATCAAATAAGATTTGTGTGTCCAGACATAGTGACACAAAAGCAGCCAGAGTGTCCAGACTGAGACGCATCTGTAAAAATCTGATTGGAATCGCATTTCAAATCCGCCTCCATATGTGCTTTTAATCAGATTTGGAAAAAAAATCCAATTTCATTTGTTTTTTTCTTTCTGTCCAGACTTTCAAAAACCCATATGAATAAAATCTGGATATGCAAAAAATGAAATTTTTGCTTGCAGTCTGAACATGGCCTTATGCCCGGTACTCATTGTGTGATTTTGGGCTGTCCCAGACGAAAGATGACCAATCGTGGAGATTTCTGTAGTCGCGGCTCCTAAACGGTGGTTCTTCGTCATACAGTGAGATAGGTTCAAAGATGGCTGTCTACATCTCCTGACTAGCAAATGAAAATGCAACATGAAACTGTGTATTGATCAACACGACATGATGGCGCTAAAACTTAAATCTACTTTCCTCAAGCTCCATTTGCAAAATTGGCATTGCCTCTTTTCCCTAGCCATGACCACGTCCATATTCTCCTCTTTCGGTTCCTCTGATGCCAAAGTGCAGTTCATCTCGACTTGCTCTATTTGTTTACCACTAGCTCATGCTGATAACGTTTTATTCGTCGCCTAAGATTCAATAGGTGTCATCATCGTAGAGTCTACATACATGTCGTACACAAGTTTATTAGATCCATGTCGTACAGTGTGATTTGTAATGATCGTATTGCTGAAATCACACAGACTTTAGCAGGCATTCACTGACTTCACTCCTATTGGTTGTCACTCCCAGATGTCGCTCTTCATTTGCATAAAATTAAACATATAGAGTGCTACAGGAATGACGAAAATGTGTAGGCCAACCTGAAAGTTAGCATCGCACTGGTTCCCTCCCTCGCTAAAAACCCAATAGGATTTCCCCATATGCTTTTGGATTATCGCAACAACAACAAAAAAAGCTCTGTGATCAGCAAAAATGTACGGAAGAGTACGGAAGAGGATTAGGGCCAAGCAATAATAACAAAATAAAACCATCTTGAGATTAAAGTCATTATAATGCGAAATTAAACTCGTTAAATTTCGAGAAAAAAGTCGAAATACAATCTTGAGAATAAACTCATTAAATATCGAGAATAAAGTCGTTGTGTTTCGAGAAAAAAAGTCGAAATGAAATGTAGAGAATAACGCATTCGATCAGTGTTCATTGCATAGCCTACTGATAGAGGACATGGCAGAGTTGGATCACTTAGTCAAGCTATATTTTAGACTTTATTTCAGTAACAAAGAAATACTATCAACTTTAGCAGTAATGTATTGCATTAAAAGTGAGTTTATTCTCAAGATTGTATTTCGACTTTTTTCTCGAAAATGTAACGAGTTTAATTTCGCATTATAATAACTTTAATCTCGAGATGGTTTTATTTTTTTATTATTGCTTGGCCCTAATCCCCTTCCGTACATAACGATGCTGTAAAACGTTTTGTATGACGTTTAATCTCCTCCACAACCTCTGGAGTCACATTTAGACACTTGTTAGCAACCGTCTTTTTCAAGACAAGTAACAGCTTAAAAAAATCACGACGAGTGGGGTAATATTGATGTATTTTATGTCGTAGAATAAAACATGAAAGTGTCTTAACCGCTGACCTTATTTCAGCCATTTAACCAAAAAAAACCATTTACTTCAGGACAATGGAAGTGCTAAATTGTTAACTCGTTTCAGGGTTTGGGCCTACAAAAGTGTTTCAGACCATATCTCAACTTTGTCGCATCGCTGG